AGGGGCAAGGGATGCAGCAGCTCACACTGATGGACCAGGAGCTGAGGGCAGAATCCATCCAGGAGCATCAGCTGAGAAATTTCGGCAGTAACTCCAAGTCACCACACAAGTCCCTGACTCATTTCTTCCCCTCGAGCCGAAGGTTTTATTTGAGGCCTGACTGGAAGCAGATGGACCTGTCAGGGCTCCTCAGGCAGGTGAGCAGAGCCGGGGGATGAGCTGTTAAGTGTTCCCAGCTGCTGGGCAGGGCCCCGAGGAAATTGTTGGAGCTGGGACCCAGCTCCGAGGTGAGATCTGGAGCCAGTGCCAAGAAGGAAGAAGTTAATTTCTCTAAAACACCATTCTCTGAAAACCTGAAGAAGCAAGGCTTTTGAAATGAGAGAAAATAGCTGAAAATATCTGTAAAATGCATCCAATATATCTTCAGACTTCAGAGAGCCAGAAGCCATCTCAGCTCCTGCCCCCATCTCTGGTTTTGTTCAGGATCTGCCTCCTTAGGCAGCAAAAATTATTTTTCTGAGTTTTCTCCCTATTGCTGGTGTTCCCCTCTCCAGAAAGGTCTTGACTTTTACTTGCTGCTTTGTATTGTTTGATTTATAAGCTCAAGGGGTCCTTCTCAAAACCTGGACTCCTTCTTGTGCTTAATTGCTACAATAAACTGAAAACTTGGTGCTTTAGGAGCAGCAGTCTGGGAGGAAATGGTTTGATGGATGGAAGTAGACGATAGGTCCTTCTTGGGAATGTCACCAAAAGGACACAGCAGAGAAATGGCTTTATAAATAACTGCAAAATTCAGAAAGTCCACGAGCTTAGGGAGACCAGAGCTCTATTAAGCACAAACAGCTTGCAGGGCAATTCCCAACATCTGCAAAAGTCCTCTCAGCCCCTGTAACTCCCAGCAGCCTCGACTGCTGCATCCATCGGCATTCACTCCCCGGGCCAGCGGTCTGGGATGCCATGGAAAGGGATGTCTGGAGTTTGCATCCCAAAATGCAAGCAAACCAGTGAAAGAAAAGGTGATTAACAAGTCAAAGCTTTTATTTACATTGTGAAGAAGGTACTTTTCCTTTTTCTTTTGGAAATTAATTTATAAAAAATAGTTCTTGATGTTTTAAAAGCTGTTTTTCCCAGTGGGTGCAGCGTTGGTGGAGGACGGAGCGGGCATGGATGAAGTTCCTGCATGTTCCAAGCAGTGCCATGGTTCCTGTCATAGCTCCAACTGACACAGTAGTAAAGAAAATTATAAAATTCATCCAGAAAATGCCAGGGAATGAGGCTTCACTTGTGGCACTGCAAAGTGCAGCTCCAGTCACCAAGTGCTCATAGCACAACTCCACCAGAGTTGTGAATGCGAATGCATCCCCCTGCACCCAGAACCCAAAATCCATCTGGGATGGGAGAGTCACCATGGCACCAGCAATTTTATAATTATCTGAACCTCTCCTTTAGCTTCCTGAGCTGAGTTTTATGAGTCACCACAGATGTTGTGTGTTCTGGGGGACAACCAGACACCCAAAACAAAGAGGAAAGGGCACGTAAATATTGTGGCTTCATCTGTTTCCAATAGGCTGTGTTTACATATTAATGTGCAATACAAATTTGTAAACATGAGCATTTGAAACTTTTGGAGGAACCGATCCCGGCCTTTTCCCTTTCTGCAGTTTTATTGGAACAACATGTCCCCGGCCCCAGCCACACATGGACATGGTTTCCATTCTGGATGCATTTCAAATGGTCTGGGTGCTTATTTGTTCTGCTCTATCTTGCTATCCAATCCTCGTTTGCTTTGCATAATTGTGATACAAATTATCATCTAATTACAGCCCCAACCTCAGCAGATCAAATGTAAACCGAGGCACTTCCATCGCAAAAAGCGACATCCGATGCTCCCTCTATGCCTTTGGCTTCTCCAATAGATGGATTGAATCTGCGTGAAACCAGAGAGTAAAGTGCACTTTGATTAAAAATATTATTCCCGGATATTTTGTCTCCTTGGATTTTAAATCCACCCCCGTGTCTGAGCACCGAGCCCATCCCATGTCCCGGCGCTGGGCACGGACACGGCACCTCTGGAATGGTGGATTTTACACGATGAGTGCTACAAACAGGCTCAGATATTCCCAAATAACTTCAAACTCCTCTTGTGAAAGGTCAAATGACTAATAGCTGAGATTGTTCAGCAAGTTTCATCTTCTAAAAAAACCCCTTTGTTTTTCTCCCTGTTCCCATTTAAAAATAGCACTGTAATCCTGAGGTGCTGCTTGTATTTGCCCAGTAAGTCCAAAGAATTGTGAACTTTGAAATGGCTACAAGTTTTCCTATAATATTTGTGGCAAGAAATACAAAGCAGTACGTGATGGAATTGTATTGACAGGCACATGGGCTTGCTTGAAATATCAACCTCAGTTTGCCCAGTTTCACATTTAATAAATCATATTGATTAATCTGATTTATTCTCTTGAGTTCTGCCACTCAGCTCCTGCTAGCGGCTGTTTTACAAAGGACCCTGAGAGTGTAGAGTGCAGGTTAGCTACTTTTGGGGTCACATTTATTTTAATATCTAGGCAAAGCCATCTATTTTGTAGCGTGAGTGAATCAGCTGAGTCACTGTTATGGATATGGAAAATATTCCTATGCCAGAAGGCCCAAGGAGCTCGGTCAGCTCTGAGGTGGCGTTGGTGGGACATGACAGAGAGCTATGACTGCTTGAAAACACCACCCAAATCCTTTTTATTTCTTGGACTTTATTTCTTTCCTTTTGGAAGGATAAAAGATGAAGATGAAGGCAAAGAAAATGGAAATAACCCTCAGATAAAGTGGATCGAGCAGCTCTCCTCACGCCGTGCCAACCTCTCACCCAGACAAATTGATATTTCTGGATCTGCCTGATGAGCACCCTCCCAAAGTGTGGCACCCCTGGGACACGCTCAGACCTTGCAGGGACCAGGCTCTGGGTGTGTTTTCCATGTGGCTGTGATGAGGGAGGGTGGTGAAACCTGGGATCCTACGGGACCCACAGAGGCGCTTTGAGATCCAGCTCAATTCCACTGGAATCTGCCGAGCATCATTCCTGATGGAGCAAATCACTGCACCAAAAATATCTGTCCCAGTCATTATCAGTCACATTTTTAACCAGACACTGATTTACTGGATTACAGCTCATGGCCAGCAACTCTGGAATATCTTATGCAACCGCAAATATTTGGAAAATTGGAAGTTCCCTGTTGCACAAATCCGTGACTGATCAGGAAGAGCCTTCCAGCTGCCCAGGAGTACAACCACATGTGGGGGCTGAGTTGGGGTCACTCAGCTGGACAGAGCCTGGCCAGGGCCAGCAGTGGACTTGCCACGGGAATTCAGTCACCACCAAATTGGAAATAAGGACTCCCAAGGAAAAAAAAAAAAGCTTTTTTTTTTTTAATAAAAATAGTGAGATAAACTGCTAAGAAACAGCCCAAGAAAGCAGGTTTGTTAATTTTTACAGTTGTACAGACCATTTATCACAATTTCCCATTTCATACTGGCATCACTGGGGGCTCTGTGAACACCCACATCAGGAAAATTAGGGAAACCAATGTTGTCTGAATTTCATCAAAGTCTCATGAAAATAAAAGTGTAATTTTTGTTAATTTAGCAGCTTCTGATGTTGCTTGTTCTGGTTGGAATTTGTTATCTGTTAAGGATGAAAATAAAATCAAAACCCTGGTATCAGTTTTGATTCTTAAGCCTGTGCCTAATCCCTCTATTATGTGTTGTGCTTGAAAATATAAGATTAATCCCAAAATGGGGCTAGTCCCAACCAAGCCTTATTTTCCAATATCTGCCATCAATCAAGTGATAAATTTGACTTTAGGTAGAGACTGAACATCAATCAAATAAAGAATAAAACCTGTGTCCTGATTTATTGTGAGTTACATGGCACCCTTGGGAGCTGGACATTATTTACATGAATAACAGAAATATCCACAGGTTACAAGAAAACAAACAGGGATTTTGGAAGGAATTGAAAATCTCATGTTCCAGAGCCTGTAGAGTTGTAATTCTCCATAAAGGATCTCTGTTCTCTGTGGGACTGAGCCAGGAACATCCCTGCCCCTTCCTTCGGGCAAGGCTGGATGAGATCCCACGTGGATCTTCTGTGTCCCTTGGGGCTGAGAGCTCTGGGTCAAAGGATTGTCCTGCAAGGCTCCTGGGGGTGTTTCATCCCACACAACTCTCTGAGATGCATCCTCCATGTCCCCAGCACGGATCCATCTCACCACGGGAGAGATGTGTGACCCCATCCTGTCCTTCCCACCACGCCATCAATGCTGGTGCCACTGGAGGGTGGGGCATGGAAAGGAGGGCTCTGGGCCACCCCTGCAGCTTCTCACCCCATCCATCTTTCATCCTGCCTTTCTTTACCCTGGCAGCAGATACTTGGATTTAAGGTATTTGATTTATGTCCCCACCCTGATAACGGAGGCATCTGGGTCTTGGAGAATGAGGGACTTTTATGTTGTTAATTAGGACCCATTAGAGCCAAGAGAACTTAAGAACAAGCTTGAGTGCTTGGCCAGATGTGGCTCCTTTGCCAAGTCCAGGTCCTGGAGAGTCCCTTTGAAATTAGGGATAAAACTTGAGTGAGTGAGCAGCAGCTCCCCAGGGCTCTGAGCTAACTAAAGGCAAGCAAGAGAGAGAGAAAACAGAGCTGTAGAAACACAGACATCAATGTCCCCACTCGAGAGTGCAAATAGTAAAAAGGTGACTGACAGTTTGCTCTTAACCTACAACTGTGACATAAATGTGGCCAAAAAGTATCACCTCAGGGTCATCTCAGACCCTCCCAGATCCTCCACCCTCCCAAACACAACCCTTCTGTCCACAAAATAAAAGGATTAAATGCCTGCCCACCCTGCTCCTGTACCATGCAGCATTTCAGAGTCAATAACTAACGAGCCCCTGGCTATGAAAGAAGGGAGGACTTGCTTTACACAGCTCAGAAATATTCTCTGATCCCACTAAAGGCAGTGGTTAATTGTGGGGTGCCAGTTGGAGTGATTGCATCTGCCGTCCCTCAAAGCAGCCGGAATGCTGTCACTCACTTTGAAATGCCCTGCTGCATTCATCAGTCTGGATGGCACAGAGAAGTTATAACCATACAAGCCATATGGAGGATGTAAAGAACAATTAAGTGCTTCCCGAGCAATGGGACTTGATGGGAAAATGTTTCCAGATGCATGTAATCCATACAGCATTTGACCAGCAGGACCGGGGGCTTGTAGGCACTGAGCGTTTAAGTCTTCGGCTTTGGCGTTTTTCAGGGAAGACAGTTTGGGCACATCCACCATGAAGTGGGGTAAAAGGTGTGGGTTGGTGGCTCCCAGTTTTTCGTGGCTCGGAAGGAGGAGTGCCTGTTGTCTCAAGAAGCTCGTAGGGCAGATCTTGTAGTAGAGGGGCACGTTGAGGGGGTGCAGGAAGCTCTCGGGGCACGACATGCCCAGGTTGCTTGCAGGCAAGTGAAGCGTGGGAGGGGAGCACGATGGAGAGAGCAGGGGGTTCAGAGGAGAGGGGGTCCCACCGCTGGAGGCCACTGGAGAAGAGCTGGAGCTCCCACCTGGAAAGGAAAACAGAAATCATCCAGGCTGGGCAAACTGGTGTCCACAGCCAAGCAATCCTCGGAGAACTCCTGCTCCCGGCTGCCGGTGTCCATCCAAACACGAACCTGCTCCAAAGACCAGCTCCCGGAAAATGGGAAGATCTATGCATAAATGGTTATTGCTAGCTGGTATTTGTCTAAAAACAACATTTGCATGTGTCTAATCCCATTCCTTGGACTGGGATCATGGTAAATGCAGCTCCATACACACCTGGATCCATACCTGGCTGCACGACCGATAACCCTCCCCTGCTATACCCACACCATTGCCATTTCAGGTTCCCTATTTTTTCATGCATATTCCAGACAGTTTTTTCCCCCTTGGATATAAGAACAAAAAAGCATATTCAGCCTGATGGAGAATTTTTTGTACCTTCCTGCTCACAGGAATTGACTCATTTCACTTGGCTTCCCAAGCAATTTGAAACATTCCCCTGAATGCTATCGGTGTCTCCAGAAATTCAAACTCACAAGTCATGTGAACGTCCTCCTTTCTCAAAGGGATGAATGAACACTTTCAGAATTCAGGAGAAAAGCAACCCCAAGGAGTAAAAATGAAGCAGGGATGGGATGGCTGCTCCGAGGTGGGAATGGTGCAGGGAGCAGCCGGCCCTGGTGCTACACAGATGCTGGTTTCATCTCCCGCCTGTGGAGAGCCAAATGTCTGCTGCACACTCATTACCAAATTCTTCCACAGGGTTTCCCCCTCCCCCCACTTTATTTCAATTTCTTACCAAAATCACAGGAAAGGATGTAAGGGAATGTTGATCCATTTGTGTTACTATTTACATTCAATTCCTACCAATACAGTGCCTGTCTGGGATCTGATCCGACTTGACACGCAACCAGCGACCCGAAATCAACTGTAAAACTGAACCATAGCTGCTGGTATAGCAAATTGTTAAAAAAAACCCTTAAAAACACAAAGATTTTGAATGTGATGCAAATTAATTTCCAAACTCCCAACAAGCAGAGCCTCTCACAGGCCAGCCCTTGGTCACAATAATCCAGGAAGGTTTTGTGGCGTGAGGGTCTCACCCTTCCCAGCTGATGTCAGTGGCTGCTTCAGTCCTGACATCAGCAGGGCAGGGTCCAGTCCTCTCTCCCTGGACATATCCTGATGTCCTCCAGGGCTCAGGGACTTTGGGTCACGTAAAATACGGGATTGAGCTGATATTTGTGTGTGAGGCAGCAAGGGAATCCCTACGTGGCCGGATACAGCAGAGCAGAGCAGGGTCAGTATCTGCTGCACCGAGCAATAATCTCACATCCTGAGCAATAATCTCACCCAAACTCCACAGCAAGTTTGGGAATGGGGATTGCAGCAGAAACAATGGAGCAGATCAATGAGCAGGTGTTTTCTGCCCTTCCTATTAGGCTTAAAAATAAAAATTCTATGGCAATTTTTTTTCTTCAGCATGTTAGTCATAATTCCTTTTAATTTACCTCCTGGTTTTAGAGTTTTGGGATTTCAGTTTTATGGCTTTTCTTCAGAAATATATTTTATTAGCAGTAGAACTTCAGATTTTGTTATATTTATATCAGTCCAGGAATTCCGTCCTGAAGAAAAATACCAAATAGATTAAACAAGAAAAAAAAATCCAAAAATCCCAGGTAGCTGTAATATTATATTATATTATATTATATTATATTATATTATATTATATTAGTACAATAATATTTTAATGTCCTTAACATTGCAATTGCTGTTGTTTCATTCCTCATGCAGCTCATCCACCACCTCCTCTCCCCTGGCAAACGGGCTCAAAAGGAGCTTTTTGCATAGGATATTTTCTAAAAATAAAATTAATAAAAAACCTATTCATAATACTAATAAAACTGCTACTACTACCACCACCAATAATGATAATAATTTTAGTTCTCTTTACAACTGATAAACCTCTTAATTTCTCCCGAATCTGATTTATTTGTGCCCTCATTTCTACGCCTGCAGAAAATGAATTTTTGCTGTGATTTTTGCAGCATTTCCCGGCAGACCCAGGGGTGACTCGGTGTGTCCCAAAACTTTGAAGAGTTCCTTTCGTAAACGAGAATTTGACTAGCGACTTTAAACCCAACTTGGAGGGTTTAAAGGGTTTAAACGAGCTGTTAGTTTTTTCCCTTCGGCGCTATGAGCAATCTGTTTTCAAATATTACTTTCTGAAGCCGTTTTTCTGAGAAAATGCTATAAAGGACCGGTTGCTCTTGTCAGGATGAAGGAGAGCATTTTCCCGGAAAATTTGTCCTCCTCTTCTCTGCATTTCTGTGCGACTGCTGCATCCTAAATACCAGATAATTTTATTTTCTGTTTCCTAACGCATTTGTCGGCGCAGAAGCTGCCGCTGCAGAAAGCACGGGCGGTCACCACTACCACGTTTGTAGTTGATATTCCCAACCCGGTTGGAAGCAATTAGTGTAACAGGATCAAAGCCGGAACAACCCGACTCCAAATTAGCCTCCTGCACACTCAGATATTTTTTTCCTGCCCATCTAACTCTGATTTCAGCCGGGGGCTGGAGCAGCCCCGCGCCCTCATCCTGTTCTTCCCGGCTTCTCGCATCCACTTTCACAGGAATTTTATCCAAACCAACGCGGAATTAACTCCCCCAAAAGCAGGGATTCGTTTTCTGGGCGCGCCTCGTTATCTTTGATGGTTCGAGCCGCCCGAGGAGGCTCCGGGCGTGCGGCCGGGAGGGGCAGCGAGCGGGGTTCACTTACCCTGGCTGTCTGCGCCGAAAGCCTTGAAGTCCAGGGCGAGGGGGGGTCTCCACGGGTAGGTCTCCAGGAGCCCGTCCAGGACCCCCCTGCGGGGCGAGAGCGCCTTGAACGCAGCCGCGGGGCCGGCGGGCGCGGGGGGCGGCGGCGGGGCGGCCCCGGCCCTTACCTGTTCCTGCCGGGGTCCCGAAAACCTTTGGCGAAGGGATTCCTGTCGATCTTCAGCTTCGTGATCTGCAGGGTGAAATCAAGGGGCCGCTGGGGAGCGGGACGGGCTGGGAGCGGCTCCCGGTGCCATCGGGGCTCTCCATCCCCCCGGCTCCCGGTGCCATCGGGGCTCTCCATCCCCCCGGCTCCCGGTACTGCCGGGGCTCTCCATCCCCCCGGCTCCCGGTGCCATCGGGGCTCTCCATCCCCCCGGCTCCCGGTGCCATCGGGGCTCTCCATCCCCCCGGCTCCCGGTACTGCCGGGGCTCTCCATCCCCCCCGGCTCCCGGTACTGCCGGGGCTCTCCATCCCCCCGGCTCCCGGTACTGCCGGGGCTCTCCATCCCCCCCGGCTCCCGGTACCGCCGGGGCTCTCCATCCCCCCGGCTCCCGGTACCTGCTGGTTCTGGTAGGCTGTGACGGTGGTGAACTCGGTCTCCTGGAAGGAGAAGGTCTGCACCCCCTCGGCCGGCAGCGACTGGATCTGCGCTAGATCGAAGCGAGAATCCTGGGCGATAACGTGGACGCGGGGCTTGTACTTGTGCATGGACTGCAGGATGATCTGTGCGGGGGGACAGGCGGCTGAGCCCCCCGGAGGGAGAAGGGCAGGAAGAAAACCCGAGGCGAGGCTCAGGGAGGACCCAGCGCTGAGCCCCAAGGCAGGAGGGACCGGCCCCCGCCCTCCCGGCGCTGCCCCCCGGATGATGCTCCGCACCCCGGGGCGCTGCTCTGCCCCTGCCCGGCCCCCCCGGCGGGGCTGCCCCACACCTACGTGCCCCTTGTCGTCCATCTCGTTGTTGGTGAGCTTCACGCGGTCGAAGCTGATGATTTGCCTCATCCAGGTCTCCCCCGAGCAGGGCGAGTCGGGGTGGATGTAGAGGCGCGGGGTGATGCAGGAGTGGTCCGTGTTCCCCGCCACCATCCACTGCGAGCTGTGATAGACGTACCTGGCCCGGGCCGGGCCGCGTCAGCCGCCGGGAGCCCGTCCCCACCTGCCCCCCACACCTATAGATTCTATAGGTGCGTGCGGGCCCCCCAGCATCCCTGTGTGCCCCCCGTGTCCCGCTCGGGTCGCAGATCGCGGCCATCAGCGCAGGACGGGTCCCGCGGGGGTGTGGGGGTCCCGCCCGTTCCCCCCGTACCTGTACCCGTACCTGTACCCGTACCTGTATCGCTTGGAGTCCACGGGCACGACGTCGATGGCGATGTAATATTGCTGCAGCGGCTCCAGCCCCTTCACCTTCACCCGGACCGACGGGAACATCCTCCTGCGGGCACAGGGCACAGGGACAGCGGCTGAGCGAGAGCCAAGAGGGGCTGCGGAACTGGGAATGGGCGTCGGGAGGAAGGAAAATCGAACTCAACGAAAATAGAGGGAAAAGGGGCGAACTAAGTGAAATATCTGAACAGAACAGAGAAACCTGAGACAACGAAACAAAACAAAAATAAAAAGCCCAAGAAATAACACTGTCACCCCCCAGGAAAAAAAAAAAAAAAAGAAAGGAAAAAAAATAAAAACCGAAACGGGAAAGCAAAGCCCGAGCGCGGCGGCGGGGGCCGGCCGGTACCTGCCGGCCTTGGTGATGATCATCTCGGTGCCGATGTCGTGGAACCTCCTCCAGAGCTCGGAGCCCTGCAGCTCCACCTGCACCCCGCCCGCCCGGCTCTCGGCACCGGCCTTGGGCCGCTTCTCTGCGGGGAACACAAAGGGCAGGGGGCGGCTCGGGAGGCTGCCGGGGCCGGGGGCCGCCCTCGCTCCCCTCCGGGCTCCCTCCGGTACCCACCCGCCTCCGGGGCTCTGCGAGCCGGCCGGCAGCCGGGGCCGGGCTCCTCATCGCGACCCTCCGGCACCTTCCTCTTGGCCGAGCGTCCCACCAGGGCTTCCACCGAGAAGGCGTGAGCCCGGGAGCTGAGCGCCATCGCCCCCGGGCTGCCAGGGGTCCCCCCGGGCGGCAGCGGGGCTCAGGCGGGCGGCGGCGGCTCCATCCCGGCCGGCACCCGGCGCCCCTCGCCCGGCACGGCTCCCGTCGGGGGGCAGCGGCCACGGCGAGATCCTCTTGCATCCAACTGAGTCAATAGACGGCTGCAGCCTCCTCTGTTTGTTTTGGAAACTGGTGGGAGCATAAGAAACATTGAGTGACATTTCATGGGAGTAACGGGGGGGGGTTGGAGGGGGAGGGAGGGGAGAGCCACAAGGGTGGGGGGGGGAGAGGGGGAAGAGGAGCCGGCCCCGTCTAGGATCAATAAAAGAGTTACTGTTCTCCATTAAATTGTAAAACTCAAAGAAATTTGACATAATTGCACACTAGGGGCCACTTTTCCAACAAAAGTGCAAATAACGTTTAACCAGAACCAGCGCAAAAGGGAAAAAGAAAAAAAAAGGAAAAGAAAGAGGGAAAAGGAGAGAAAGGAGAAAGATAAAGAGAAAAGAAGGAGAAAAGGGGTAGAAAAAGAAAGAAGAAGGCAGGAAAAGATAAATAAAAGGGGAGGAAAGAAAAAGAGGGATACAAGGGAAGGGAGCCGTGCCCCGCTCTGGCCCCGCCGCGCTGCCCCCACGGGCCGGTCACGCGTGGCCCCTCCGGTGTCCCCGGCACGACACACCCGGGGCCACCCCTGGGCTGTGACAGCACCGGGCAGCAGTTCCGGCTTTGTGTCCCGTTTTTCCTTTGCTTTTCGTTTGTTTGGTTGTTTTTGGGGTGTTTTTTAAGGCAGCCCCGCCCGCTCCGCCACCCCCCCCCCGCCTCCCTCCCCGGCTCCGCTTCAAAGCGCGGCCCCGCGGCCCGCAGCAGCTGCGCTGAATTAGGGGCAGAAATCCCCGTTTTCCACCCGGAGAGTCCCGGGAAACTCCTGCGCGTCCGGGCAGGGCAAGGTCGGGGCTGGGGGGCTCCGTTCGGGACCCTCAGGTGCGCAGGGAAAGCGCTGCGCGGGCTCTGCGCGGCATTTTCACCCCCGCTCCGGGAACCTGCCCGCCCTGCCCAGGCTGGAACCCCCGCGCTGATTTATTTTCCATGCGGGAACCCTCCCCAGAGCCGGCAGCAAAGGGGATTCTGGGGCTCAGGTGGGTTTTGGGGAGGGGAGAGCGGCGTCCCCGCTGAGCAGGGGGGTGTCCAACCCCCCTGGCCCCACAGCCTCTCCCGGCACCGGGGAGGTCAGCCGGGATAAATGAGCCTTAACGGGAAAAAAATGTGGAAAGGGATAAAATTCACAGGCCAGCTGAGAAAGCAGGTTGAGGAGAGGAGAGCTGGCTTTGGGACAGGCAGGGGAGGTGCAGCATTCCATGCTCTGCTTCCAGGTGCTCCCAGAGTGGCAGGGAAGCCCTGGTACCTCCAAATGTTTCACTTTTCAGGATTTCTTGCTCTGTTTGTTAGAGTTGCTGTCCTGTGTGCACATTCCCAAAGTTTGGGCTGGCAGCAGGTTGTCCTTGTGGAGAACATGGAATGGTTTGGGTGGGAAGGGACTTTAAATCTCATCTCAATCCATCTCCTGCCATGGGCAGGGACACCTTCCACCATCCCAGGCTGCTCCAAGCCCCATCCAACCTGGCCTGGGACACTTCCAGGGACCCAGGGGCAGCCACAGCCTCTCTGTGCCAGGATTTGTTCTCAGATGTGTATTTAAATTGTCCCAGACTCACATTCTTGTCCTCAAGTCCCCATCCCAAGGGTGCTCCTTTCTCAGCTCAGGGTGGGCCCTGCCCGTTGATGCTAACACACATTTATAACTCCCTGTACCTTCCTTAGCACACATTTACACATCAGATTCCTGGCATATCTCACTGGGACAGGGATTTGGCCAGGGAAAAGATCTCAGAAGAAGTGAAGGGGTGCAGATACAGCTGCCAAAAGTCCAAGCTCTGCATCCAGCCTGGACACCTGGTTGGAAGCCGCATCTTCTCCAGCTGCTGACCTTTCTCCAGTGCCAGCTCTGGTGTGGGCAACACCTGCAGCCTGACCGGGGAGTGGAACGTGGCTATCCCAGCTTCCCAAAGTCCCATAGCTGTAATCTGAATTGTAGGTGGATTTGGCCTTGTGTTACTCCATCCTTCCATGGATCTCCATCAGCAGTGGCCTCTGATGTGGTTTTGTTTCCTACAGGAATGTCCAGGTGCTCCTGCCTCATGCCTCTATGGGACAATGTCCAGCCTGCTGCCCATCCTCTGGAATGTCATTCCACAGGATAATGGTCCAGTGTCCATGCCAGGAGGGCTGGAATTAGATGTTCTGTCAGGTCCCTTCAAACCAAAGCATTCCATGATCCCTTGTGGCAAGAAATGGATGGAGAACCAGGCAGGAGGAAGAAATTTGGGGTTGCCTCTTGCTCCTAGGCAGGATCAGCCCCACCTATGCAGATTTAATTCTCCTTACAAAGAGAAATTAATCAGATTTTATGAACATGTTCATAATTAGAAGAGCATAAGCTCATGATTTCGAGGTGACTGGCGGGTCCTGGCCAGCGCTGATGGAAGCCAGCTGAGGGCATGGAGTGTGAACCTTTATCTCTGCTGACATGACATATTATTAAAAAGTATTTCGAGTAATCTTTGATTTCCTCAGCATTGCAACACATTTCAAGAACTTGGCCGGGGATCAACTGAGCCTTTTTAATTTCCTACACTGAAAAATAAAACAAAAATCAAGCCCGATTGAGATGATATAATCAGGAACATTTTGAGGGTTTAGGTCAAATTAATGTGTCAGAGAAGGGTTTTCAGGGGACTTGGGGAGCTTTAATCTGTCAAAGGCTGACTCAGAGCCTGCTTGGGCTTTGTAATCTTATTGTCTTTATGGAATTATGGGATGGAATGTCCTGAATTACCATCATCAGAGAGTCTAGCAAATAATCAGTTGGCATAAAGTTCAGAATAACTAAGTTAATTTTAAAGCTAGTGTTGCACAATATGCCAGAAATGTTTGCTTAACTTGGGAATGATCTTTTAATACTGTCCCTTAATGTGTGAAAGCACTCAGGTAACCTCCAGCCACAGCCTTGTCCAGCCACTTTTGGGGCAGATTTTAGGAGATGGAGCTCTTTCCAAGCTGTGCTCGATTTTGCCAAGATTTGCTTTGCATTTACCAAAACAAAAGAAAAAAAAACCCCAACAAATCAACCCAAATCTGCCTTTTGGCTTAGGGGGTAATATTTTAATATCACCTGAACTCAATTTTGCATCTAATACTTATCTCTTTTATATCTCCACTCCATTATGGATTTATATAGAGCTGCAATTATAAATTTGGTATGTGGATATATTTGGTTCTAATGGATAAATTCAATGATTGTTCAGGCCAAACTCAAGGGTTGCTCATTCTTTGCTCCACAAATAGTTAGCAAGAAAATATTTATCCATTTAATGTTTGGGAAAGTCCTGGTTTCCAGCCCTGCAGTCTCTGATCAGAGAGGTGCAGCCCCATTACCCAAACCCTGGCCCCCAGGAGGGCCTCAGCCATTGCTTCTCCAGGGTTAATTAAATGATGAGTAGTCGAGTTTACAACTGGGTGTGCGAGCATCTCTCTTCCCACTGGGTGTATGTGAGGTGGGACACTCTGAGCAATATTTTGGGTGGTGTAGCTCCTCTTCTCTTGCAGGGAGCACAGCAGAGAGTCCTGGGCTGGTCCCATGTCCCTGAGTGCTCTTCCCACCCCAGCCTTGGTGGCACCAACTACATCCACCCTTTCAAACTCTTTCCTCTGCTGTAAAAAAGCATTTTAGGGTTGATTTAACCCTTTTTGCACATGCTGCTAACTTGTTGCTCCAGGGATCACCTTCAAGTTTCCTTTTTTTCCTGGATTCCCAACCTTATTGCTACCAGTAAATAAAAATGGAATTTTTTTTGGATCCAAATCTATTTGCTCGTAAATGAAAGAGTGCCAGAACAGTTTGGGTTGGAAGGGACCTTAAAGCCCATCCAGTGCCACCCCCTGCCATGGCAGGGACACCTTCCACTGTCCCAGGGGGCTCCAAGCCCTGTCCTGACACTTCCAAGGATCCAGGGGCAGCCACAGCTGCTCTGGGCAACCAAAATCAAACATATAAATATGTAATAAATATAATTGAACATGCTGCCTCACACCTGCACTGAGAAATGCAAGTGAATATCCAGTATTCCATTGTGCCAATAATGCCCTTTCCTTGGAGGAAAAAAAAAATAAACTTATGGATGAAACTGTGCCACAAAGAGCTGCCATGAGCCAGCAGGGAAAGGGATGGGAGGTTTATTATGGGAGGGTGTAAGAGCTGGAATTAAACAGTTTCTGAATGCCCTGGAGAGGCTGCAGTGAAGAGGTTGTGAGGCAGCTGAATGACCCTTCTGGGGGCTGGAAAAACACTGGGTTGGGTTCTACAGGAGCTGCAAGTGCCAATATTCAACTTGAATTTTTGTAAACGAAACCTCCATTTCACAGGAGTCATTAACTAATTAGTCATTAACAGATTAACAAATATTTCTTTTTCCTAAAAATCTTTCAAACAGAAACTGCTGAAGACTGAGGGACTCTTGGCAGAAAACACCCGTGGTAGTGTGAAACAGTGCTCAGGAGATTGTTTTCCCTGACATTCTCAAATATCCCGTTCCCCAGCACAGCTTTAATTTCATTCCATGATTATTTTGCCCCTCATGAACTTTGAAGAACCTCTGTTCTTCTGTGACTGTGTCTTCTCTCCATCCCTGCTGGGCTGTGGCACCTCTGGGCTGACTCCATCCAAACCAGGAGGTGATGGCAAGCTATCCTTGTCCACAGGACAATCCTGAATTTATTCCATGGCCAAAATCACAGATCTGAGCAAGAAATGAGCAGTTTATGGTGGTGGCCAACCAGTGCTGAAGTTTCTTGGTTGACCTCCTAAAGAGGTCCTTCACCTCCACGTGCGCTGCGTAAGTTAAAGATAAATTAAAATAAATCTCTGTTATGTTACTTTATACA